AATCTGTACAACCTCTAGAGGTCTTACACGGTGATGTATGGGAACCTGCCCCCTTGTTATCTCATGAAAGATTTAGGTACTATGTAACCTTCATAGATGAATGTACCATATATACATGAGTTTTCCCTTTAAATAATAAATCAGAGGTTTTTACAACATTTGTGCAATTTTATGCTTATCTATGCTCAATTCTCTGCAAAACCAAAAGTTTTACAAAGTGATAGTGGGGGTGAGTATGTTAGCACAAGTTTCAGCATTTTTTATCACACCAAGACATGTTACATCAAAGATCTTGTCCTTACACCCCAGAACAAAACGGGTTAGCAGAAAGAAAACATAGGCATGTTGTAGAAACTGCCATTACCTTACTTCAAACTGCACATTTACCATCTAAATTCTGGTTTCATGCATGTACTACAGCAATATAGTTGATTAACAGAATGCCATCAACTGTTTTAAAAATGAAATCCCCTTTTCAATTGTTATTTCATAAAATTCCATATATTAGTCATTTGAAAGTCTTTGGTTGTGCATGTTTTCCCCTAGTTACCCCATACAATAACTCCAAACTGCAACCAAAAACGAAAACTTGTGTCTTTCTGGGATATGTAGATCATTATAAAGGGTTCATTTGTCTAGACATGGTTACTCAAATAACTTACATATCTAAACATGTCTTGTTTCATGAAACCATTTTTCCATACTTTCATGCAGCATCAGTACCTTCTTTACCAGTGTCAACACCTGCAAATTCACATGAGCATTCTCTAAATCCTACACCAGCATCCATATCATTACAAAATTAAGTTGTGTCCTCTGCATCTCATACCTCTTCATCATCATCTACAACCACATATTCATTGAACTTGCATCCATCTAGTGCTTCAGATTCTTTGACTGCATCCAGAGCCTCAGAATCTTTGGATACACCTGCATCTAATGCCTCAGAGTTTATTCCTTCCCCTACATAGATCTTAAATGTTAATTTTGACTCTCTTACATAGTATCCCATTCCTATGGATCCTGATTTTCAACAAGTGAACCTGCAAGTTGTGATAAATATGCCTATGAACATTCACCCTATGCAAACAAGGTCCAAAAATGGTATATTCAAAAGAAAGTCTCTCTTTGCCTCTATAAGCTCCTCACATGCATCCATCACAGAACCAAAATCCTTCAAGGTAGCTTCCAATGTATTGGAATGGCAAGAGGCTATGAAAGAAGAAATTACTGCTTTGCATACACAGAAGACTTGGTCTCTGGTTCCGTTACCACCTGCCAAGAACTTAGTTGGCTGTAAATGGGTATATAGGATTAAAAGGGATGCAAATGGTTGTATTGCCCGATATAAGGCACGACTTGTTGCAAAAGGATATAACCAGGAAGAAGGAATTGACTACGGCCAAACTTTTAGTCCTGTGGTAAAACATACCACTATAAGGTTGATTCTTGCATTAGCTGCACAATTCAATTGGCCTCTCAGACAAATGGATGTAAAAAATGCCTTTTTACATGGCATTCTTCAAGAGGAGGTGTATATGGAACAACCTTCAGGATTTTAAAGTGCAGAACATCCTCTTCATTACGTTTGCAAATTACAAAAGTCTCTATACGATCTTAAACAGGCCCCAGAGTCTGGAATGATAGGTTTACAAATTTTTTACCTGGCTTAGGATTCAAAGCTTCCCAAGCTGATCCCTCTTTGTTTGTTCAACATTCATCCAAAGGCACTGTAGTCTTACTGCTATATGTTGATGATGTGATACTTACTGGTAGTAGTTCTGAGTTAATTTCAAGTGTGATTAAAGGCCTCACAGAAGAATTCGATATCAAAGACTTGGGCCAATTGAATTATTTCTTGGGGTTACAGATCAATTATACACCAGGAGGGCTATTTGTCTCATAAATAAATTATATTATTGAGTTGGTTGCCAAAGTTGACTTGAAGGATTGTAAACCGTGTGCTACACCTTGTTTACCATATCATCGATTACTTAAGAATGATGGCAAACCATATCATAATCCTGAGTAGTACAGAAACATTGTTGGTGCCCTTCAGTATCTCACCTTCACCAGACTAGATATAGCATTCTTAGTGAATCAAGCCTGTCAGTTTATGCACAACCCTATGGAATCTCATGTTATTGCAATTAAATGAATCATACGATATCTCAAAAGAACCTTAAGCATTGGTATTCAGTTCTAGCCATGACCAATACATTTACAGTCCTATAGTGATGCAAATTGGGCCGGGGATCCCAATGATCGTAGGTCTACTTCAGGTTTTGTTATATTTCTTGGTTCAAATCCAATTTCTTGGTCATCCAAGAAGCAGCACACAGTTTCTAGGTCTTCCACAGAGGCTAAGTATAGAGCCTTAGCCATTACAGCTGCAGAGTTGACTTGGATTCAACAGTTGTTCTGTGATTTACATGTTCATATTCAAATTCCACCATTGATCTATTGTGATAACATCTCAACAATTGCCCTTTCAACTAATCCAGTATTTCATGCCAAGTCTAAACACATTGAGATCGACTATTATTTTGTAAGGGAACGGGTCATTCGAGGAGATCTTCTGGTTCAACATGTCTCCTCTACTGAACAATCAGCCGACATACTTACAAAAGGGTTGTTAGCCCCTTTATTTCAACTTTATTTCAACAACACTATGGCAATCTCATGCTCAGTTCCCTTGAGCATCCGATTGAGGGGGGATATAAGGATCCAAGTGAAGAAAACAGCTATCCAAGTGAAGAGAAGATCAAGGTCAAACTAAATGACACTTGTCAATAGATTAAAGAGATGAGCTGTTAAAAGTAGTTAAAAGTTGTTAGAACTATGGCTGAGATAAGGAGGTGGAAGGTTAGCAGCTAAGAAAAGTGAGAATATATAACTGAAATTGTAATCATAACAAAATATAAAGGAATAAAAAAATCTCTCTCTCTTTCGATCTCTCTCTCTCTTCTTCCTCCATATTCTGTGTAGTTTCTCAAGAACATATTCATTGAAGCTTTCTTAATATTCACATATATTACTAGTGTGTGTATATATATATATATACATACACATATGAGAAATGATTTATGCATATTTTTTCATTTATTGTACACTCCTATTTGTTTATGTCTCTTGATTTTTCTTTTATTCAAACTAAAGGTCAAAAATACATAAAGATATGGAGAAAAAAACGAGCATGTGAAAATTACTTCCCATAACATGTAGAGTAAACTGCTGATTTGCCCCTTGAACTATCACCCAACTTTCGATTCCCCCCCCCCTGAACTTTTTAATTGGAAAATTAAGGACTTAAACTGATTTGCCCCCTGCTGTTAATTTTTCATTCATTCCATCCAAATTTCTGTTAAATGGAAGCATGTGCACAACATGCATGGGTAGTTCAGTCGCTTCATTCTTTAAAATAATTGAAAACCTTAGATTTCTATAATATAAACTTATGCAAATATGTGTGATTCTATAACTTTTGTGTCTGAATGTATAGTGAAGTAACGTTTTTGTTCACAAATGAGAGTTACGTGGTTTGCACATGATAAGAGTTAACGTTAATTTGGATGAAATCTATTAAAAACTAACGGTAGGGGGAAATCGGCCAAAAAAATTAGTTTAAGTCCTTAATTTTCCAATAAAAAAGTTCAGGGGAGAAATCGAAAGTTGGGTGATAGTTCAAGGGGTAAATTGGCAGTTTACTCTAACATGTATTATTCATTAATCAGAACCAAGATGTGAAAGATAACAACTAGAGTTAGCATGCATGGAAGAGTCACGATCATGACAACAACCATATGGGTTGTGACTTAACCATGATCTTCAAAGGATTATGGCAAATCCTTAATGCACATGGGAGCGTATCAAATAAATCTCCATGCATATATGCTGTTAGGATATATCAGTAGTACAAAGAGATATATATAGATCCTCTATATTTCTGACTCATTCAACCCTACCCAGTACCCGGTAACAAGACTATCCTTCCAAATATATATATATTTGCAGTATATTCTTCGTTCCTTCAATATTAATGCAGTGGGTTGGTTAAGACATCTGGTCACTATCACTGGCTAAAATGGTAATAATCTACATAGCCAGGGATATGCATGGTTTAGCCGTGTGGGGTTTGAAGTTACAAATATTGAACAATACTGCTGGTTGTCCTTTTGAGAAGATTTTATCTCGTGAGAAACGGTTGCAAGTATACAGTAGATGAGTGACAGTGAAACTGTCATTAATTATAGATGTACTATGAGAGAATTTTATGTGTACTTAAACTCATTGCTAGCACCCTATCCTCTTGGCTTGTACGATTTCTTTCTTATTAATGGATATTGTACTCATTTCAAAAAAAAAAAAAAAAAAAAAAACTTATCATGTGTTGCTACTTGGTATTATGATCTAGTTGTATTGTAAGTGTGAGATCTTAGGTTCGATTCTCGTCAAAAGTGAATTTAAACCACATTATTATTACTAGTCCATTATGAGGCTTATCTCACTTCCCAACGGTTTAGTTATATGTTAGACTTTCAGGATATATAAACAAAAAATAAATATACGTCCTATAAATCAAAGAGAATAATAACTTTGCGTGGTGGTGTTTATTTTCTTTTCTGCCACAAAGAGAAATTTTATTATCCTTTGCAAGGTATTTTTAATTTTTTTTAATACAATAATATATTACACTAAGGTATGAGATCTATAAATTGATATCGACTAATCTTTCACAAATTTCAAATCTAAAATTTTTTAATTTACAAATAAAAAATATTATTAAATCGTGATACTAATTTGCAAATAACAATATCTTAGACCTATTGGAAAAATCACTCGTAGTACTATAGTAACCGTGTGACTGAGTTGAGAAACCCAGGAGTACTTGCATCTACCTTTTACCATTCTTTTTTCAGTGGGCGGGTGCTACTTTTTCTCCTATAAATAAGGACCATTGGTGGAGGTCTCTTAAAGTATCTGCTATAGCTGCAACTCTCCAATCTCTAATCATATTATAGTATTAAATTTAGGGTAAGGACTAGGGAACTGGGAGAGAGAAAGAGCAGGGAGTGGTGATACGTTGTTGACAGAAGATAGAGAGCACAGATGGATGACTTGCAATGGACTATGCATCTCACTCCTTTGTGCTCTCTATGCTTCTGTCATCACCTAGCTATATCCAGCTTCCCTGCCCCTCCCCCACACCCCTGCACCTCCCATATTAATCTAATTCATAAAATGATTATTTGATTGATTACTAATTAATCGATTATATATGCTTCCCTTGCTTGCATATATATATATGCTTCCTTTGCTTGCATATATATTGTTTTAACTTTGTAATTTCATATTTAGTCTCGAGTGATTTGGGTATATTCATAAATTTACTGATTTCTCATTTTTGGATCTGACTTGTATATATAATTGGATTTCCCTTTTTTCTCCTTTGTAGGATCTTATGTTTTACAGGTTTGATTGAAGTAGTAGTAGTACTGGAAAAGCAGATCTATCAGAGCCGCAGGAGTACTTTGCAATCATAGGTTCTTATAAATATTATAAATAATGTGTCTGTATTTTATGGGGTTTGTTCATGCGTAAGTTTGTTTATTTAGTTTTCAATTGTAGATGTGTAGTTCATGATCACAACAACATTTTCACATTATCTTGGTTGAAAATTTTCAGCGGCTAGCTAGGTCTGAAAACTACATATGGGATCCAATGAAAATTTTCAATGGCTAGCTAGGTTTTCTTTCACCTCTTTTCTTTTCTTAATTTCACATATATTATTTTGTTTTCTCCAAGAAGATCATGTATGACGACATTCTGATGCTATACGTACGTATGCCAGCCGCCTAGAGATATTTGAATCAAGCGTTATTATATATATAAGAGGAGAAGGGTTTTACTTATTGTTCTGAGGGAGGGGAGTTTAAATTTTGCAATCTGCATATATGGATTTTGTAGATAATTCAAGGAGATTGACTAACTAAAAGAACCACTGCAATAGCTTTAGCTTGAGCTGTTTGAAAAGGGGCGTAATGAACTGTTGGACTGAGTGAGTTAAGTAAGGTGTAGTATGGCTATATGTTAGACCAGAGAGGGAAATCATTTTTTCTTAGTGCAAATATGTGAAGAGTGAGCAGCTTGTTCTTACTTTCATCTTTCATTTCTGGGAATTGATATGGAGTACTTGGAGGAAGACTTTGAAGGAGACTCTAGGAAAAGACATAGAGTACTTGGAGAGCTAATAGAAGACTTGGCCCACAACTGAGCTCAATAGCGTTCTAGGATTCATACTACTGACCACACTGAGTGGACAAGGCTTTGTTATTGTTGTATTTCTGGGATTTGATATCTTTATAGAGCTTGCTTGCTGTAAAAAAGATGGAGATCTGTAAGAAAGTCTGCAGATTCCTTTCATATATACTGGGCATAATATGCATTTTGTCATTGTGGTACTCCGTCACTGCATTCATTTTGCATACTGTATGCTACAGCAGCTTTGCGTTTAGCTCATATTAATTTTCTGAGTTAATGTCGATCCTTTGTTAATTAGGTATTCATTTATTAGTAGCTGATTCCAAGTTGAACATATCCATAGAGGTTATGACCTCTAATACTTTTCTGTTTTGTTTTTGTGGTTAATATGATTGAGTTGTAAGCTTGTAAATAACCAAACTAGTGCATGATTCTTGATATCTCTTGCATCTAGTGTCCGTATTCCTCATGAAACATTTTACATGAGAAATTAAACGCAAGAAATTGAGGAATGAACCTAATTCTAGTTTATGTTTGTGTGTGGTTTTCATGATATTGCATTTGCAAAAGTTTTCTAAGACGAAACTTGTAAGTCTGAGTTGATAGAGACTCTTTTTCAATTATTTCATCATGATTTATTTCTTATTCAGGTAATTAAACACGTTTCTCAGTATCTCACAAAAGAAATTAAATGTGTGTGTCTATATATACGCCTTTTATGTAAAGGGATCCTTATTTTTTTTTCAAAAAATGGGGATTAGGTGTGGGGCTCACTCCACATTGAACTTCAACAATTCGAACTGTTTATTTTGTAAATCTCATTTCATAGATCATCTTTACAAAAATTCAATTCAATCCGAAACCATTTGACTATTTAATTATCAAGATAAAATTTCATTGTTTCTTATATAACAAAGTATTCGTTAATTTCTTCGAACTCAATTAGATGTCTTAAACATTTTTTATTTGACTAATACTTTGCAAGGATGATCTATGAGGTGGAACTTGAAAAACAGACGGTTCGGATCGTTAAAATTTGATATATGGTGTGGACTCCACAATTAATCCTCATTTTTATAAAAAAAAAAATAAGGATCCCTTCCCTTAAAGGTTTCCTATATATATATATACACACACTTAAGTACAATTACTAATTAATTAGTAAGAAATTTCAAATGGTTGAGAGTATCAATCTCACGTCGGCGAAGTGAGAGACTTTGTATATGTGCTTATAAGTAATTGGGCTACTCTCTATATTGCCAATTGGTTTTATGGTGGAACCTCAACTTCTTCATGGCCATATGTACGTCACGTCACCTGATTTGTGTTGTCCACTTACTAGGCTTAAAAATTCATCACACGTGAGAAATCGTATTAAGAGTATCTACCTCACATCGAGAAAATGAGAGACCTTGCATATATATGTTTATAAGTAATTAAGTTACTCTTCATATTGCTAATTAGTTTTATATGGTGAAACCTCAACTTCTTCACAAACGTCCAAGTAGCTAACAATTGTGAGACCATATTTATAATTTACTAACATTTCAATGTACTTATGCTTCTTGTTACTAGTACTCTTTCCTTCTTCTAGAATAAAATCTTAGCAGGGAGATTGGATATCGACATATATATCCAAAATCTTCAGGTGAGAGAAGAGCAGATTTGATTTTATAATTAAGCTAGTAAGTGAGGAAAGGTTTTGATAATAATGATTGTATATATCAGATTCACCTTAAACTTAGTCAGACTGTAGTTAGTATTCTTAGTATTTGCAAACATCAAAACACGGCGGAGGATGAAACGACTTCTCATGATTTTATTTTGTAAGAAATTTATGTATGATGATTTTCATTTAAGAAAGTTGATGACTTGTGGTTGATGTGATTCGATAGTTCCATTTTTAAAATATTAATATGTAAAACATAAAAAAAGGAGTGACAAATTCATAATTCTCATCCACTTGTGTCATATATATAGCTAGCCCTAGCCAGTCAAAAGACAAAACCATCTTCCTTCCCTTCCCACCATGGAATCAAGAGTACTGAAGTGGAAAAAATTGATTACTTTTGTATGGACTAGAAATATATCACACCACCCAGCCTGACAAGAAACATAGCTAAAGTGCTTAGCTTAGGCAAGCATGCATTGGTATTTTCTTGTATAATCTGGAGTATTTTATATTCTTAAGTTTTTAACAGTCAAATTTGTAATTGAAAATATGATGATCAAGAATCTAACGGTAAAAATTTACATGCTATATAGGATTTCTCGAAACATAATTGAAATTTAAAAATTTCATGACTTGATATTGTTATGTCTAGCTAGTGCCTAGTGGGATGATCAATTCTTACATGGCTTGACTGATCATGTGGATGTGGTTAACGAATGACACGCTGTATTTGTGATATCTGAAATGAAAGAAGGAAAAAAGAAGAACACAAACTCCACTACACCAGCGCTATTATCTCTGTATCTATCCTCATTTATTCAATTGCTGTTATGATAGAACTGTACGTCTTCCGACTATGCAGATTAGATTTTGACGTGAGAGAAAAAGGAAAGAGAAAGTTGTGTCGATCGATCATCACAAAATGGAAGTGTCTGCAGTTTGATAGGCCCCAATTGGTCTCTGCGCACGGCTTCACTTTATCCGTGAATAATTATACATATTAATGTCACATTTACTTATATATACGTGTGTGCACCTCTTTTTTTTTTTTTTACCTTTTATACACTTCTTGTTAATTTTTACCTTTCATGCATTTTTTGTTAATTTTTATTATTTGATATTTTTCAATCCATTCAATCTAAAGGGCCGAAAATGAAAAAGAATGTGTAACAAGGAAAAAAAATGTATGAATGGCACAACCCTATAAAGGACATGGGACTTAGGACTTATCCAAAAACAATCGAACGACCCTCTTGAAATCTTATGATGATCACTATCTCTTGAGAAAACAGAAAAAACTTGTCTGCAACATGCTGTGTAACATTGCATTTTTCTCTTCACACATATAAAGTCACGTGTCATACAACTTTAGCGGGCTATCCAATCTGCCTAAGGGTTTGCAACATGTTATATATATGAATCATTGCCTAGGCATGTGTATATGCACAAGTGTGTCTTCTCTCCCCTCGTGTATCATATACATAAGTGCAGGGCCGTCTCTGAGATTTCAAGGATCCTGTACGAAATTTATTAAAGGGCCATATTTTAAGATAGTTTTTATTTTTTAAAATGTAGGACAATATATGGTACGAGAAAATAATAATTTAAATCAAAACAACATTTAGGACTCACTGATTGTAAGTTTACAAATGTCATTAAATAAATAAAAGGGTTTTTTTTTATCACAAATGGTCCCTGAAATTGACCCATCCCATCAGGATGGTCCCTGAAATTGAAAATCGATCAATGTAGTCCCTGAAATTGGGTGTTGCAAATCTATGTAGTCTTTCCGTCATAACTCCGTTAAAAATTTTGTTATGTGCTGATGTGGCGTATAATTGGGTTTCACAATATAATAAAATATTGCTATGTGGATTAAAAGTAATAAAATAATAATTAAAAATAGTTTTTATAATCTAACCCTTGTTTTCAACAAATGCGAACCCTGGGAACTTCCTGGTACGCATATATATAGTTTTTCTAATCTAACCCTTGTTTTCAGTTCATCCGTCACATGCACAAATTCGATCTATTTCTATATATCCATAGTTTTGTAGTTTTTGCAATTAGCTTGTTAACCGTTAAAAGAACCCCAAATGAAACCTCCCTAATGTTGCTCGACCCGGAGGTGCAGGCCGTAGGGGAGTGCCACTAAGAATTTATTATGACGATTACATGTGCGACGGGGTGGGGTGGGGTGGGGTGGTTGCTCTGGTGAGAGTGGCAGTTGGGAACTGCATGTAAACGGGTGCTGCTGGGTAGGAGGAGAAGAAGAAGATGAACAATCATCTTCTTCTTTTTCTCTTTTTTTTTTTGGTTTTAA